GGCTCAAGCAATCCACTCACCTCAGCCTCCCAAAGGCGCGGGATTACAGGCTCAGCCACCAAGCCCGGCAGAACTTTTTTGACCACCAGGGGAGGTCAGAGGGAAGGAGGACAACAGGAAAAGTCCTCTCCTCCCCCACCAGAGTTGCTAGAGAGGTGAGTGCCCGCCCAGGAGAGCAGGCACCTCTGCAGTTCCCATTCTCAGCTGCTTCAAGGGGGAGGAGCCAGAACCTTAAGTGACTCTCAGCTGCTTTTTGCTTGGAAGCTCCGAGTTGGGGTGGCAGCCTCCCAGCCCCTCCTGATCTCTGACTGGAACCAAAACCAGCTCAAAAACACCAACCTATTAGGGTTAGAGGCTCTGCTGGGACCATCACAGTGTGTGGGCACATCTTCCTGTGGAGGCCAAAAGGGAAGAGCCCTTGGGTTGTCTGTTGTTTTAGGGCATTCACCATGTGCCAACCTCTGTGCCAGACCAGCCCAGGCCCCAAAGAGGACACTGGGTCAGGCCACCAGCAGCTGTCTTCTGTGTAGGAGCCTCAGCTTTTTTTTTTTTTTTTTTTTTTTGAGTTGGAGTCTCACTCTGTCGCCCAGACTGGAGTGCAGTGGCTGCTCCTGGACACCGCAGCCTCGACCTGCTGGGCTCTGGCGATCCTTCCAAGTAGCTGGAACTACAGGCGTGTGCTACCATGCCCAGCTAATTTTTGATTTGTTGTAGAGATGAGGGCTTGCCAAGTTGCCCAGGCGGGTCTTGAACCCGCGTGGAGCCTCAGCTTTAATGCCCAGGCTTGAGGTGAGGAAATAGGGGCTGTGTAAAAAAAAGACCCACTTCTGAAGAACTGGAGAATGTGGTCGCAAGGAATGCATAAAATCGAAGGGAACTGGAGGCCCCATGCAGCCCCCTGGATGGGCCAGTGCTACAGGATGCTGCCCGGAGTAGAGACCCAAAGAGCAGTGATGTGCCACCTACCTTAACCCCAACTGGTCTATGCTTAGCTCTCTGGTTTCCCTGCCTTCTGCCTTCCTCATGGACCCTACCAACTTCCTTTTAAACATCTTCAGAGTCCCCCTTGCCCTCTGGATCTAGTCCAAACTCATTATCTGACACATAGGCTCTGGGCTCAGCCTCCTCTCCTCAGCCTCCGTGTACCTGCATTTCCAGGCGCACCACTTGGCTACCAAGCAAAGTTGCTCAGCTTCTGCCTGGCCACTGCGGCAGAAGGACCTTTCAGGTATCCTCCCTCTTCCCTTGCTCCTCTTTGCTCCCACGGCACCACTGACCTTTCTATACCTAAAAGTACCCTTTCCCCTCACTAGCCTGTAAGTCCACAGAGGCCAGGGACAGGTTTTTTTTGAGTGAAAGAAATCGTCTCTGATGTTCTATGTATACAAGCGTCTTGCCAATTCTGCCAAGCTCCCCTCAGGCAGCACAAGTGAATCTGCCAGTGTCTAGACTGTGCTGACGGGTGGAAGGCACTCTAGAAGATACCAGATGCCAAGGCACAGCTACAACCACTCTGCAGCAGATCCAAAAGCATCAAATGAGCACACAGGTCAGGAGAGAAACAAATAAGGCAACAGACTCTTTATTTAATGTGGTTTAAAATACATCAAAATCAAGTCCCTGGCTGTTGTGAATACCAAAAGGAGACAAAAAAGCTGCCAGCACAGCTTCAAACAAGTCTGAGTGGCCAGGTCTGGCCATAAGGAAAGCAGTGACAGGGACAAAGGCAGCACCCCTCCCCCAGGAAGGGAGGAGCAGGCAGGCGCCTGGCTGTCCCTGGTATGACCACCTCTGTGCTGTGCAAGGCGGGAGGGCTGGGCAGCAGCTGGAGAATCAGCTCAGCAGGCCTCGGCCCTCCCCCGTGGCCACGAGGCGGCTCCACTGGCCTCTGGGCCAGTCCTCGGCAGGGCTGCTGTGATGGGGTGGAGGAGGGTTAAATAACCATCTTTACAGAAATAACATTCTCCTACAGAAAGTGCCTGAGCTCAGCCCATGGTCCAAAAACCTCATGGAATACAAACAACAAATTTAAAAAAGTGCTGCTGACACCTCTCAGAATCTGGTGTACACGAAACTCTCAGCTGGACAAGGTCCTGAAGACAAATTATGTCAGCAGAGCCCTGGGCTCTGGGCTCCACCTGCTGTGGCCCCTGGAGGAAAAGCTAGCAATCTATGATACCAACACAGCTCTTGGTCCTAAAACTGAGGTCATGTGTGTGGGGCCCACCCGGGTGAGGAAGGCACTGGCCTTCACTTGTGGATAGGCCACCGCCCCTGCATCTGGCCCAGGACCTGGGCTGACTTTGGAAAGCAGAGAAAGCAGAGCAGCTGTAGTGACTGGTTAAGGTTTGGTCAGTGGAGAAGAAGAGAAAGGGGACGCCCATCTAGACTTGCCCAAATGGCTAGAGCTGAATTTCAGGCCAAGTTTCCACCCTGCCTGGGCGCCACATTCCTGGTCCGAGAAGTTCAGCAGGGGCCCCTGCTCCCTGTAGCCTCCTGTACCCTGACACTGGGGCCCAAAAGCCTCACCCCCCACAGGCTTTTAAGAGGTAGCTGAAGTGAGGCAGGCAATTATGTTGGCCACCGTAGGCCTTTCCGCTTTCCTCACGGGGCAGACGGCTACCTCTGCCTCCTCTGCACACCTTGCTTGACTAGCAAACACTCTTGCCAGGTTGGCAGCTCTTGTATCCCAGCCTGGTACAGGGGCTGTGGGAGGCAGAAGGCCTTCCTGGAGCAGAAGAGGCATTCCAAGCACAGGGATTCAGAGGGGAAGGCAAAGACCTTGGGGATCCTTCTCCAGAGAGAGCAGCAATTCAGCCAGGGATGGCAGATAGAGCTCAACACTCATCCCTGCTTGAGGGCATTTCCCATGTGAAGGAAGGATATCCAAGGATTGGCAAGAAACACTGTGAAGCAGATCAGTGCCACCTGCCAAGGCCACTTGCCATCTCTGGTCTAAGTCAACACGATTCAGGAGTACTTAATCATGAGCCTACTTATCTGAAATAGGCTAGGTATGGAGGATGAAGGACTACAGGACGATAAGCTCACTTCAAAGAAATACAGCAAGAAGCGAAACACCAACCCTCCTATCTCTTGGTCTGTGGCTCCCTCAGCTACACTGAGGCTGACGCCCAGCTAGGAATGGGGCACTGTACTTCTAGTCCAGCAAAGCCCCGCTTCCTGATCTAGGACTCATTCTCTTGTCCCAGAAAAGTGCTCTGCACAGAGACTAGCAACATCCTGGCAAGTCTGCAACCAGCAGAACCTTCGGCCAACAGAGTAGCTATATACAGTACATAGTATTATGTACTAAAGGTGGGGAGGGAAACAAACACAGCTGTCTGCAGCCATTTCATGGGGTTCTGGGGCTCAGTCAATTGTTGAACTTTATTTTCTACCTGTCAGACAACAACTGTGGGTTCCCACACAGGAAGAAGGACTCTTACTCCTTGGGCAAGGGGGTATCAGGAAATGGAGTCAGGGCAAACCTCAAGGACTGTGCACTCGGGCACCTGGGGGACAGGGGCAGGAAGCAGAAACAGACTTGTAAAGCCAAGGGGGCATCTGGACCCGGGGCCCAGAATCTGCTGCATGGAGATGGTGCTGAGGGGAACCAGTGGTAGCATCCCACAGGTAAGCTTGCAGCAAAGCTGTCAGAAGCCTCTCCCTTTCCCTTTCTACAGCCAACTTGGTCTCTACACACAGGAGACCTAGGCGCCAGGATGGCAAAGGAGTCAGGGTGGGGGAAAGGGGTGGGATACTGGAGGCAGGCCCAGACGCCACCGCTACAGCTCCCCTCTTTCTTCCTCAGAAGGTCCTCAATACAAACACTCTCATGTGCAAACCCCCCTCCCAAAAACAAACAAACAAAAAAACAAACCTTCAGAAAGAATCCTTTGGGTGATCTCGTCAATCATTTGTGCAGGCTAGAGAGGCACCTGTGAATGATAAGGCTACTGAGAAGCATCACTGGCCTGGTCCTGGCACTACCAGAGGGCAGGGGAAGTGGTGCCCAAGGGCTCCCAACCAGCACGTCATCCCACACAGAACCATTCTCCAGGTCCCTTGTCCTTGGCAGGAAAGCAGTCCAATCACCTGCTTTGAGTGCCCTGCTAAGGCTCTGCCTGGGGACCCTGCTTCCAGGTCAAGAGAAGCAGAGGAGCCTCTAGAGGAGCTAGGAGAGCCCGAGCTGCCCAAGCCCCACTCACAAGAGAAATGCAGTCAAGTCCCGGGTGTATCACTTGTCATGAGCTCTGAAGGGCCAGGAGGGATCTGAGCCTCACATCAGGCAGAAAACTGCTCAAGTCACTTGTCCTGCCAGTTCACTGTGATGGCAGCTACAGATGACAGCTCCTCTTGAGACTCTTCAGCTCACAGAGGAGCCACTGACTTCATCTGTACATACTCCCACCCCACTGCAAGCCCACGGTACACTTATAGACATAAATGCATGAGGCCTTGCACAACGCCATATGCACGTAAAACTGACCCACAAAATCCAAAATTGCAAGTGTCAGGTGCCAGCCACATCAGAATACCTGGCCTTAGCACTGAACTGCTCAGCATGGGAACCTTGCATGGGCCAGGCCTGGCTGGGCTACCTGCTCCCTTCCCAGCAAGCCCCAGCACCAGGTTCTCTAGGCCCTGGCGGAGGCAGGCTCCTGGGGGGCAATCTGGCCTGATGCTTCTGTGCTCGGTGCTCCGGGGCAGCAAGGTGCTTCTGTGACCCTAGGTGAGCTGGGTGCTTGAGCACCAGGCCCCTCTGGCCTCCGCTCAGGACCACTGTCAATGAGGGAGCCCTGGCCACCAGCACTCAGGTCCTGTACCCTCTTGTTCAGGTCATTGCGCTCGGTCTGCAGTGCCCGGCACAGCTTCTCCAGCCGTTGGATTTTCACCTGCAGACCCTCCAGCTCTTTGTCCCGGAGTGTCTTCTAGGGAGAGAAATTGGGCCTTCAGTGCCACACCACTAACGGTCCCACTTAATGTCATTCCTTGGCAGCAAACACCTTAACAAGACTAGGAGCAGACCAGAATCCAAAGTTGGCCTCTTCTAGGAAACAGTCCTAGTTGATGCCTTGACCAGGTTGTCAGTTGGGGCAATGTTGTGCAGAGAAGGGGCATGACTCAGAGACTATGTATTTCTTCATTTATCTACCAGATAACCTTGACAAAGGATTTGGCTTTTAAGCCTCTCTCATCTGCAAAACATGTACAACAAATATCAACCTCGCATCTCAAGAGGTTCAACGAACCAGCATATCGAAAGTATTCAGCAAGGTCAGTGCCACTCCATCAGTGTTAGTTCCTTTCTTTCACACTATAAACCATGAAGTCATAAATAACCTGGGCTGTCTTATAAACCACGCACATCATGGGCACCTGTTTTTCCTGTTTTCTCTTTCTCCCATTTGCTTCCTTCACTCTCACTGCAGATCTACCACCGGGTTGACCAACTCCCATGGCCAGAGGGCTGGCACTGCTTTGGGACTTGGACAGAAATGTGCGCAAATCCCACCTCTACCTCATGCTAGCTCTGTCAATGACTGAAAGTACAGAAAAGAGTCTGACACCCCAGCCCTGGCTGCAGACCACAGTCAGCCCACCTCCTCAGCCATTTCAAGCAGGGTCTTGTTGCTGCTCTCCCACCGGGACCGGTACATGGTGGTTTCTTTCTCCAGCTTCTTGATCTTCTTAGTCATCTGGGTTACATGACAGATGGAAGGAAACAATTAGAGCTGGGGTGCCTGTGCATCTGTCTCTCTAAGGTGGGGAATGATCCCAGGGGGCAAGGCATTACAGGGCGCAGTCAAGGCTTCTGTGCCACCTCATTACCAGGGAGCCTCAAGTTAAAATGTCCACTACCAATAACAAGAAATGACAAGATCGCCCATCTCCAGGACAACCTGGAGGGTGTACATACCACTGGCACTTTCTTGAGAGGAGGAAAACTGTGAGTCCTCCTAACGGCCCCACCCTTGGTATCAATCAGTTACTAAAAAGATCTCCCCAAGAGGCACTCCCTAGATGGGAGCTTCCTAAAGGCAGGCTCAGGGTTCAATTCTGAATCAGGGGAGCAGCTGTGCCCCAGCAGCCATGCCCTCCCTGGACCATTGTTACCTTTTCCATCTCCTGCTTGAACGTGGTGAATACCTCACTGCTTTTGGAAAGTGTGTTCTGGAACTCCTCAAACTTCTCAGTGTATAGGGCAAGCTGGGTGAGAGAGAAGCCCACAGATAAGACTGGGCTTCTCTGGAAGGCACCTCTGGTCGGCATATTCTGACCCCTTCTTGACCCTTTGACTCAGTAATTCTACTGAGATGCTATTTTTCATTAATTGACCCTTTGACTCAGTAATTCTACTGAGATGCTATTTTTCATTAAAACAAAACAGAAGCTATATATATATATATATATATTTTTTTTTTTTTTGAGTCAGTGTCTCGCTCTGTCACCCAAGCTGAAGTGCAGTAGCGTGATCATGGCCATCGCTGCCTCAGCCTCCTAGGCTCAGGCAATCCTTCCACCTCAGTCTTTTTTTGAGTCGGAGTCACACTCGGTCATCCTGGCTGGAGTGCAGTGGTATGCTCACGGCCACCACAGCCTTGACCTGCTGGGTTCAGGTGATCCTTCTGCTTCATTCAGCTTTCCAAGTAGCAGGGACTACAGGTATGTGCCACCACGCCTGGATAATTTTTTGATTTATTGTAGAGATGAGGTTTCACTAAGCTGGCCAGGCTGGTCTTGAACCTGTGGGCTCAGGCAATCCTCCACCTCGGCCTCCCAAAGCGTTCGGATTATAGGTGTGAGCCACTGGGCCCGGCCTCGCCTGTCTTCTAAGTAGCTGAAACTACAGGCACATACCACCATGCCTGGCTAGTTTTTTAAAAATTTATTTTAGAGACAAGGTCTCGCCAAGTTGCTTAGACTGGTCTTGAGCCCCTGGGCTCAGGCAATCCTCTTGTCTCCACCTCCCAAAGCGCTAGGTTTATAGGCATGAGCCACTGTACCTGGCTAAAAGCTATATATTCAGTAGGACATAATACAAAATGCTAAAACTAGAAAGTAGGATTTAGGGTGACATATATTTTACCTTTATGTTTATTTTCAAACTTTCCTTTTGGAATCAAGTTTAACTTACATAGCTAAAAATAACTCTTCTATCCCCATAGCTTCAAAAGCAACCCTTTTGAGCCAGGAATGAAGTTCTCTGAGCTCACCTAGCTACCTGGTCACCACCGCATAGGTGCTGGGCAGGTCCAGAGAAAACAAAGCCTCAACCAAGGCCACACAACAGTCCGGGCAGAGCTAGAACGAGGGACTCGGTTCACTCCCCCCAGGATGGGGCCCAGTGAGGGGATCTTGGAGGCACAGGGTCGGGTCACACATCGTCTCACCTGCTGCTTCAGGTGGGTCTCCTGCTGCTTCATCAGCTCACACATCCTCTGGGATTCCACTGCCTCTTTCAGGAGCTATTTCCAAGACAGAACCCCAGACTTTGTCAGAAGTCCTCAGGGGCTACGTTTGACCTTTTGCAGCCACAAGCACCAGACCCAGAGAGGCTTTGGGCTCTCTGACTAGTATGTGAGGAATTTACGCCTGGTCTGGTCAGGAGCAACCTTCCCCATATAGCCTAGACCATGAATTGAACCAGAATCCAATCCACTTCCTCCCATATACTCCACCCTAACCCAGGGTCTGAGTCTCACAAAATCCTTCTCCCGTTGGTGCCGCTCCTCTGCCTCCTTCAGCATCTCCTGGGCCTGCTGGAGCTTGGCATCCACTAGCTGCTGCTGCAGGTCCTTGTGTTTGAAGACTTTGTCGATATGCTACAGCAAAGATGGTGGGACGGTTGGCTTATTAGGGCTCCATTTCTCAGGAAGGCCCCATCTACACAGATCAGGGCACTTTGACCAGCCTCCCATCTCAATCTCACATGCTGGAATCCTACATGTACCACAGGACATGTGCCTAAGTCCCTGGAATTTCAGTTTCCCAGCCTCACCTCCCTTCTCTCTCAGTGAGTGAGACCTAGGTAAGTACAGGGGCTTATGGGTAGAAATCAGCTCACGAGAAGCCAAGAAGAAAATATACCCCATGGGGTTAGTAGCCCTCACTTCTATGGCCCCTAACTCCCTTGTAAATGTCAAGAACGAGCACAAATAATGCCACTATGAATACCACAGCCTATCTTAGTGGGTAGAGATTTGCCATATTTATAGATGAAGACTAGACATGTACATCCCAAGAAATGGCTGCCTGCTGGGAAGCCCTGGGGACTTGGGCCAGGTGAGACAGCAGGGATGGAGAGGAGGTGACAGACTCAGATGCTACTTCAAAGGTAAAAATCAACTGACATAAGGAAAGTGGGGGAACTCAACTTGTATTCTGGATGGGGAAGGGAAGGTGCCTAGAGGGGACAGCGTGGGACATGGTGCGAGTGCCTGAATCTCTCTGGGAAGGGCTGTAAATGAGAAGCAGCATAGCCTGGTAGTACTAAGTCCTCTTTGCCTTGAGGGAGACAAAGGGAATTCTTGAAGTTCATGCCTCATTATAGTGGCCTAGGAAGCCTCTGTCTCTCTTAGTGCTGAGACAAGAAACAAACCAATTCTCCTCAAATCGAATGTGTTGCAAGCAGCCTTGTTCCCAAAGGATGAAGCATGGGAGGGGAAGCAGGAAGCAGAGTGCCCTCTAGGTCAGGCACACGTGATTGCCACACTGGCCTAAGGCCAAGAGGCAGGATTTCCCATCTCACCCGCCACCATACCCCAGGGGCTGGGAAAAGACCTAGTCCAGAGCAGGTCTCTGTAGCCCTGTAAGGTACCTATGGCTCTCCCTTCTCACAAGGAGGAAACAGGCCCAAACAGGCCCAAAATAGTCAAGTGGCTGGCAGGGAGAACATAAAGATTTAAGACCCCGGGGTAGCAGCCATCACCAGCTAATGCAGTAACATCCTGCCCTTTCTCTCTTTTTTTTTTTTGAGTCAGAGTCTCATTGTGTTGCCCAGGTTGGTGTGCAGTGGCACACTCACAGTCACCACAGCCTCAACCTGCTGGGCTCAGGTGATCCTTCCACCTCAGCCTTCCAAGTAGCTAGAACTACAGATGTGCGGCACCACAGCTGGTTACTTTTAAAATTTATTTTAGAGACAAGGTCTTGCCATGTTGGCCAGGCTAGTCTCAAACCAGTAGGCTCATGCAATCCTCTCTCCTCTGCCTCCCAAAGTGCTGGGAATTACAGGCGTGAGTCTCCATGCCCGGCTGACATCCTGCCCTTTCAAGTGGCAGGAGCAGCAAGCAGCAAGGAATCAGTGGACACAGTTCCCAGAATTTATCACTGACCACAGGTACAGTCCCCTCTGCTACAATTTCAAACTCTACAAAATTGTGAAAACGGACAGTGTCATAAGCTGGCAGCCAAACTTGACCTGCACCACTGTAATATAATCTAGGTGAGTATTCGCAAGTTCCATTCCATAAATATTAACATGGCCATCTTGGAGATTCTGCTCCAAGGCCCTGCTGAGGGTGCTTAATAACAGAGTACGTACCTCCATTCTAAGATGTGGCTAGCTCTAACTTCAAATGACACCTGGCTCAGTTGTTTGGGGCAAAATACTGTGAACCTGGGACTGTGTGATTGGCAGTGTACCTCGTCCACACCTCATTCTTGTCTACAAGGAACGGCATTATTCTCTTCCCAAGGAAGGAGGAGGAAGAATAGGATGAAGCCTGAAACGTGTCATCCTAGTGCCCGGCACACACCCAGAACCTCACAATCTCCTGGTCATGACAGCTGCAGTGACCACCTTACCTCCTCTCGCAGCTCATACTGCTCAATCAGCTTCTTGAGCCTCTCGGCCAGCTCCATGTTCTCTTGGCGCAGCTTAGAGTTGCGCTCATTGTGCTGTTCCATCTGCAGCTGAATGTCATTCAGTGTCACCTGGAAGTGCGAGGTCACCTCCTTGCGCTTCTCCTCTTCTTCCCGGGCGCGCTGCACACCTTCTTCCTGGGCAGAGAAGTCAGCCCTAGTGCCATCACCCACTGATCCCCAGCCAGCCTCACAAGGCAAGCCCAACTAGTCCACTGATGGTCTCTGCCCACGGCCCTCCCTGTTCCTAACATGAATAGCCAGGCTCCAGGATGTCATGTAATGGGGGCTCCAATGGAACCCTCTGTATATCAAGTGACATTCAAGTAAGATTCACCCCCAAGAAAAATGCAGGTACACATGTAAGAGTCTTTCTGAAGCAAGTTGGATCTCCTGAGGCCTATTCTTGCAGATTTCAGATTAAGTGCTCTCATTTTAATGTGTTTTCATGCACCCGTGCCCTCAGAGACCAAATTGTTAAAATTTAGTAATAACCAGGGTTCTCAAAGTTGTACAGAATTAGGCACTCAGACACTGATGATGGGTGGCACACTGCTCCCTCACTGGAAGGCAATCTGGCAAAATCTATTAAAATTTAAAATCAGCATACTCTTTGACCCAACCATTTCATTTCTGAGATTTATGCTAAGGATAAATTCTACGTAACTGGTCAGGGATATATATGCAAAAATAATTTTTCACTGCAGCTCCATGTAATAATGAAAAGTTGGAAACAACTAAAAAATACTTTAACTAGGGTATAATAAAATACAGGACATTAGTCAGGGGCAAAGGCTCATGCCTGTAATCCCAGCACTTTGAGAGGTGGAGGTGAGAGGATTGCCTGAGCCCGGGGGTTTGAGACCAGCCTGGGCAAGTTGGTGAGACCTCGTCTCTACAATAAATCAAAAAAATTAGCCAGGTGTGGTGGCACATGCCTATGGTTCCAGCAACTTGGAAGGCTGAGGTGTGAAAGGATGGCCTGAGCCCAGCAGGTTGGGGTGGTGGCCATGAGCATGCCACTGCACTCCAGTCTGGGCGACAAAGTGAGACCCCAACTCAAAAAACAAACAAAATACAGGACATCCATACGATGATGCTGTTAAAAGAAATGAGACAGCACTACATAAACTGACAGGGAAAGATAAGGCATTAAATAAAGTGAAAAAAAGGAACAGGACATGAAACAGCACATATATGATAGTTTCATTTAAAACACTATATGTAATCTTTTACATATAGGAAGAAAAGTTAGAAGGTTGCAGTTAAACTGGCTATAACCACAGACTGACCACATCCTAGGAAAAGCAGAACATGGGAAGGACCCAGGCTGCCAACTGAGCAATCCCTGAGACAAGAGCTGCTTGTGGAGGCTGGACCTCTGCTTTCTAGGGTTGCTATTTCAGTGAGAAATATTAAGGTTACTGCACTTTGGGCTCTCTTAGGACCTCAGTGTTTACCTTATCTAACACAACTACAAGTAGATAGGGCACTATTGGGGACATGTGTTCCTTTTTTTTTTTGAGTTGGAGTCTCACTCTGTCACCCAGGCTGGAGGGCAGTGGCATGCTCCCAGTCACCACAGTCACGACTTATTGGCCTCAGGCGATCCTTCCCCCCCAGTCACCATGCCCGGCTAATTTTTTGATTGATTGTAGAGATGAGATCTTGCCAAGCTGCCCAGGCTGGTCTCGAACTCACAGGCTCAGGCAATTCTCTCACCTCGGCCTCCCAAAGTGCTGGGATTATAGGTATGAGCCACTGCACCCGTCCGGGAAATGTGTTTCTATGCCACAAGCTACTTTTTTTAGGGGAAAGCTCACCAAAGATTAGGCAGAAATCAAGGAAACCAGGGTTGCCCATTCCAGGGTGCACGGGCCTACCTTGAGGGACCGGTTGTGCCGCTGAAGCTCGCGGCACAGGCTCTCAAGCTTGCTGCGGGCCAGAATGGCCTTGCTGTGCTCGCCACGCAGGTGGTCCTTCTCCTGTACCAGCTGGCTCTGCTTCTTCTGCAGGAGCTTCATCTGCTTCTGTGAGTTCCGGTGCTCCTCCAGCTGGGGATGGGGGACAGGTGTGTACCCCGTGGGGCCCTCCTCACAGGGATCATCATGTGGCTCCAGGGTGTCCTGAGCTGCCCTGACCTACACCCTTTCATACATTCCTCCCATTAACCCCAAAGGGTCCATTGTAGGGATACAGAAATGGGACATTCACTAGGACAAGCAGGGGCCACACAGCAGACATCATCTACTATCCCAGCTCTGACTCCAATTCAGAGCACTGCCTCAACTTGCTGGACATCTATGTCCTAGGATAAGACCACCTGTAACCCCAACTTGTTCCCATTAATAGACCCCTGTGACTCCCTCTCATTCCTTTAAAACATTGGCACTGGGTTCACCAGTTCTCTCCCTAACTTGATTCTTTTTCTCATTCTTAGTCACTTCAATATTGACAAGCGGGCATGGCGGCTCATGCCTGTAATCCCAGCACCTTGGGAGGCGGAGGCAAGAGGACTGCCTGAACCCACGGGTTTGAGACCAGCCTGGGCAACTTGGCAATACCTCATATCTACAACAAATCAAAAAATTAGCTGGGTGTGGTGGTGCGCAACTGTAGTTCCAGCTATTTGGAAGGCTGAGGTAGAAGGATCGCTTGAGTCCAGCAGGTCGAGGCTGCGGTGGCCCTGAGTGTACTAGGATTACAAGTGTAAGCCACCATGCCTGGTCTCTTTTTACTTTTTTAGTTTGACTATTAGATTTTATTTTTATTTTTGATTCAGAGTTTCACTCTGTTACCCAGGCTGGAGTGCAGTGGCATGCTCATGGCCACCACAGCCTCAACCTGCTGGGCTCAGGTGATCCTACCACCTTAGCTTTCCAAGTTGCTGAAACTACAGGCACGCACAACCACGCCCAGCTAATTTTTTCAATTATTGTAGAGACGAGGTCTTACCATATTGCCCAGGTTGGTCTTAAGCCCCTGGGCTCAGGCAATTCTCTCACCTCTGCCTCCCAAAGTGCTGGCATTATAGGTACAAGCCACTGTGCCTGGCCAGGGAATGAAAGAATTTTAAAATAAATCATTAGGCTATGACCATCAATGGAGGAAGTTGTTAGTTCAAATTCAGATGGGGGAACTGACAAAGGAGGGATCTGGCTGCCCCCCCAATCCAAGTGGGAAGAGCATACTTTGTATGTCTTGTAATACAACATGAAGTACAGAGTATCACCTATAAAGAATTCTTATTAAAAACAGTTGACCCTGAATTGGATCAAGCTTCTAGAGTAAACCTCTACTTTACTTATAGAAACTAAGGGATAAACAAACAAGTTAGCCAGGCTCGGTGGCTCAGCCTGTAATCCCGCGCCTTTGCGAGGTTGAGGTGAGTGGATTGCCTGAGCCCGTGGGTTCAAGACCCACCTGGGCAGCGAGACCTCATCTCTACAATAAATCAAAAAAATCAGCCGGGCATGGCAGCGCATGCCTGTAATTCCGGCTACTCGGAAGGCTGAGGCGGAAGGATCGCTGGAGCCCAGCAGGCGAGGCTGCGGTAGCCGGGAGCGGCCACTGCACTCCAGTCTGGGCAACTGAGTGAGACTCCAACCCAAAAAAAAAAAAAAAAAAAAAGAAACAAGTTAAATGCTACCGTGTAGAAGAAAAGGTCAGAAGCGGGGCAAAATATAGGACAAATAGTCTGGTTTCTGCAAAAAAGTTAAGTATCATGGAGAATATGGGAGGCAGTGACAGGAAGACTGCTCTGGAATAAAAGGCAAGTGACTAGTGTGAATTGTGTTAAGTGTGATAATGGCACTATGCACCTTCACATATAAGGGAGATGCACAGAGAAACACACAGTAAGATCACATGGTATCTTGGGCTCAGGCCAGGAGCTAGGACTCACCACCTGGGATTCATTCTTTGAGAAATTTCTTTCAAGGAATGTGCAGTTTCCTCTCTTACTGTCAGCCATGAAGAGGCTGGCTGGGAAGTGACTCCCCATTCAACAGATGGGGGAAAGGTTCAGCCGGGCTCAGTGGCTCAGCCTGTAATCCCGCCCCTTTGGGAGGCTGAGGTGAATGGATTGCCTGAGCCCGCAGGTTCGAGACCTGCCTGGACAACTTGGCGAGACTTCATCTTTACAATAAATCAAAAAATTAGCCAGGCGTGCTAGCGCGCGCCTGTAGTTCCAGCTACTTGGAAGGCTGAGGCGGAAGGATTGCCGGAGCCCAGCAGGTTGAGGCTGCGGTGGCCGGGAACGGCCACTGCACTCCAGTCTGGGTGACAGAGTGAGACTCCAACTCAAAAAAAAAAAAAAAGAAAGGTTCAGAGAAAGGCTGAACAGGAATCAAGCCACCCACCTTCCCCTGCACCCCCAATCCCACACTTGGTGGCCTGCTGATTTCCCAACAGCAGGGTAAGTGCCAGCAGAAGGTGGGGGAACTGACCAGTTCGGCATACTTCTTGCACAGAGCTGCCAGCTTCTCCTCTGGGGTACTCAGAGTGTTCAAAGTCTGCATCAGCAACGTGATCTCCTTCCCTGCAAAGCACAGGAGCAAAGACATGCACCCCCTTCTCTGCAGGCCCTTTACCTGGGCCCATACTTGTAAGTACTGAAGGCAGTCTTCCCTTATCATAATTTATATTTTGCTTGTTGAACTAGTTGCTTTCCTTGTTATACTATGTGCTTCATTAAGGCCGTGACCAACCCAGTCCTGCTCATCACTACACCCAGAACTGTCCACAATGCCATCACAGAGCATGCGCTCAACAAATGCTTAGTAAATGAACAACTGAATCCTTGTGGAATTGCCTTAGGGAGTTCTACTGGTGGGAGGAACAACTGCCTACTCTACCAACAGAGGAAAGGTGTCCCACCTATGAATTCAGGGCTACTGTTTCAATGTACATAGGGCCCTTCTGACAGAGGTAGGATACAAAATGGAATAGGTTTCTTAGCCTCCTTGAGAAATACTAAACTGTCAACAGAAGTAGCCAAAGCGGGAGCTTTAAAATGAAGATACTATTCATATATGTGACCCTAAGATTTTATTTTATTTTTTGAGAGCAGGATTTATTGAGAGGACAGAAAAGCTCTCACAGGGGACCTGAAGGGGTTGCCTGACCCTAAGATTTAAAAAAGTACCCCTTTAAATTAGGATAACACATAAGGGGGTGAGAGGAATAGGGACAAGGACAAAGTATAATGTCACCTAACCTAGATTCCTGAACACACACACACACCCTGCTGTCAAATGACTGTTACATCTTTTCCTCACTGCCTATGCCTAAGTCATGGAACCTTCCCTCTGCTTCCCTGGAAGAACCTGAGAGATCAGCATGGAGACTGAAAACTGCTGGCACACAAGCCAAATCCAAGCCACGGATGGGTTTTGTTTGGCTCCTTTCATTTTAGCTGCTAACTATTAAAAATTCAGAGATTTCACATAACTCTAGATTCCTGGTTTTTCTTTAGAAAACAAAGTCTGGTTGCATCCAGCCTATAGTCTTGCATGCTCTAAATCAGCTAGTTGAGAGACTGCAACTAACCAGATGGCAGTCAAGCCTTTCAGTAAAGTAGGCACTCTCTTGTTTTTTGTGCACCCCTGGCTAGCCTGCTAATGTAGACATCTGGGTTTCCAACTCTGGCCTAGTCCAATCCTCTTACTGCAGAGAAGTGGAAACGAAGACCAGAGAGGGGAAGGGACAAGCCTAAGGTCAAAGAGCAGGTAGAAGTGGTGCTGGCTGGCACAGAAGCCACCCAAGCCTCCTACTCTCCATTTTCTCAAAGAGTGAGCAGGTTGGAGTCCAGCTCCCAATTGCTCTGAAGACCAGGAGATCTTGCACAGTGAACACCTGCACAACTCTGTGCTATGGTTCCCACACCTTTGGCTCCGATTAGATGAGGGTGACTCACCGCTCTGAGAAGTCCAGTTTCCTCTGAATCCTGGCAGAGCAGACTAGTCCAAACTCCCTCCCCTCTCCAGCCTCACAAATAGCTGCCCTCCACTCACCCAAACCCTTGGCTTTCTTCTTCTCCTGTGGCCGTCGGTGGTCTCGGTCTCCAACCTCGTCACTCGCACGGATCTCTTCCGGGCCTGACTCCCCCTTGGAGGTCTCCTTCTCACCATTGACTACTGGAGTCGGCTCAGGCTCCCCATTCCTTGCCACATAGGTCCGGGACTTCTCTGGATCTTCAGGTTCAGCTGGCTCACCCTGTGCCCCATCCTCACCTGGGCTGCCCTGATTGTTGTCCACACAGTATGTACTTAGTATGTCTTCCAACTGGCGGCTCAGCTCCTCAGAGACATCACGGAGGGCTCCAGATTGAGCAGTTTTGGCTTGAGCCCCTATAGCGGGTGAGGATGAGGGGTAAAGTGAAAAATAAGATGGTTATACCACTAGTTAGAATTTTTCAGGCACAGCCAGACTCACCAGTTTGGGTTAAATATTGCCTTTTTTTCCCTTTTAAAATAAAAACTGAGAAATAAGAGTGGAGTATAATTCAGCCAATCTAGTTGTTAGAACTGAAATTCAAAACTTTTTAACCATCAACTAATCATAGTCATAGGTGCTCAACTTCTTTAAGTCTCAATTTATCTACTTATAAAATGATAGAACTATTGCTCACTACCACCCACACATTATGGGCATAAAAGAAACAGGTAAAGCATCCATCACACAAGGCTGGCATGTAGCAACTTCTATCCCATCTCCTTCCTCCAAAAGTCATTTCTTGCTACTCAAACAGTTCCAGAAATGCTTCACCAGTTCCGCTGCTGACAGGTGTTTCTAACGGGACCTGGGATTGCTGATAGGGTGTCTGCTTTGACTACCACCTGATTCAATCCCGTCAGGGCCTTCTCTCAAGAGTTCTGTTCCGGCGCTTAGAGTGGGAAGGTCTCCCAACTCCAGGACATAGTGGGGGTGGCGGCCTGGGCACCGCCCTCCTCTCATTCTCCATTTCCTCCTTCCTGGGTAAACACTGGCCTCAGCCTCTAACTCCAGAGGCTGGGCCGGCACCACACACTCCTCCCTCTGCCCTCTGGAAAGCAGAACTGGCACACACCCTCCGTCTTCCCAGGAGTCTGGCTGCTGGAACCTTCGGATTCTGTCGCAGAGGCCGACTGGCCGGGCCGCCCCTGGGCTCCCTCGGGTCCTGCTTCCGGCTGTCCCGGGTTGCTTTTTGAGTTGGATTGTTTGGCAGCCCCATTTTTTTTGTCCTGGTTCTTCATTGTGGTTTGCAACGCTGGGTTAGAAGCAGATCCTTTAGAAAGAAACACAGTTGCTATTTTCCAGACTTGCCATTCTTCGCAGCCTGGATCACGAATCCTAACGCCGGCGCACAAAGCTTCCTAAAGTAAACAACCGGTCGGGCCTTCGCCGCAGGGAGCCAGCGGTCCTCCCGGTCTAGCCCGCTCAGAGGAGCCCGGCGGGCCGCGGCCGGCTTTCGGGGCGCTGCTCCTGGGGCGGCGAAGAAACCGGCCTGCTTCCTCCCGAAGCCACTTCCCGGCACAAGCGGCCCCCTCACCGCAGCCCGAGCGCGGGATTGGCTCGGGGCCGGAGACTGACGTGGCGGGACGCTCGATTTCCGACCCTTCCCCCGCCCCCCAGCCCCACGTGGGGTCCGCGCGCGCGCAGCCACCCACGCCCCGCGCCCCCTCCAGCCGCGGCACGCCCGCGCATGCGCACGGGCACGAGGCCCCGGCCCCCACGCGGAGTCTGCGGGAGTCCCCCGCCGGCCGAAAGCGTCCAGGCCCGCAGGCTCTCCGACTGTCTCGCCTCACCAGCCGCCGCCGTACGCGCTCACCGCCGACGTCCGACGACTTCCCCCGCTCTGGCCTCGCACCGGAAACCCCGGTAACCGCTGCCGGCCGAGCGACTGCTCCCGCCGCAGCCAATCAGCAGCCGGCACCGGCGCCGGCGCGGAGCTTGCTGGGAAGGACCGAGCGAAGGCGGCCTGTGAGGCGGGCGCGCTGGAAGGCGGGGGAGGGGGCGGTCTACGCGGACCTCAGCTCCCGAGATGCAATGGGAAGAAGGGCTTTGGTCCTGGAGCAGATGCCCTGGGAGGCCGGAAGGAGCGTCATTCTGCACAAATGCCCACGCCAGTCTTGTTTGTAAATCGCAGAAGTCCTGCGCCTGGCTATTGTTTGCTGCTGTCATCCATTAACCCTTCGGGCCTTGCTGTGAACATCTGCTATTCTGTCGAGGAACTCTGACTCGGGAAGAGGATTGCTCCTGGGCTGGGAATCAGGGGACCTGCATTCCAGTCCTCATCACCGATTTGCTGTGGGACTGGACATTTGTATCTCTCTTTGGACCTCAGTTTCCTTATTTTAAAAAAAGTGGCCGGGTGCGGTGGCTCAGCCTGTAATCCCAGCACTTTGGGAGGCCGAGGTGAGAGAATTGCTTGAGTCCAAGGGTTTGAGACCAGCCTGGGCAACTTGGCAAGACCTCGTTTCTACAATAAATCAAAAATTAGCCGGGTGTGGTGGCACCTGTGGTTCCAGCTACTTGGAAGGCTGAGGTGGAAGGCCTGAGTCCAGCAGGTTGAGGCTTAGGAGGCGTGCCACTGCACTCCAGCCTGGGCGACAGAGTGAGATTCCGACTCAAAAAAATAACAACCCCCCCCACGCCTTAAATAACAACAGTTCTTGGAGCGCCTACTGTATGCTTTCCTGGTACCTAATAGATTGATTCTCATAACTATACATCGAGATAAGTGATACGTATTATTCCCATTTGAAAGGCACAGTAAGGCCAAAGGTTAGATTACTTGTCGCTATTGAGTGGTTAAAACAGGGATTTGAAACTATGAAATCTCTGCCAGGTGGGGGGCTCACGCCTATAATCCCAGCACTCTGGGAGGCCGAGGTGAAAGGATTGCCTGAACCCAGTGGTTCAAACCAGCCTGGGCAACTTGGAGAGACCTCATCTACAATAAATCAAAAAAAGCTGGGTGTGGTGGCCTGTAGTTCCAGCTCCTTGGAAGTCTGAGGTGGCGGGATCATCTGAGCCCAGCAGGTCCAGGCTGGTGGTCGTAAGCATGCTACTGCACTCCAGCCTCGGCAACACAGTGAGACTCCAAATCAAAAAAACAAAACAAAACTGTGAAATCCGACGCCAGCCAGCATCTATGTAACTACTGGGCTACCCCGTTGCTCAGAAGAAATAATCACCATGCCAGATTTCTTCCAGGCAGACTCAAGGTAACTTGTGAAAGTTATTTCTTCCCCTTTCCATCACCAGCTTGGCAGTCAGTTTCTCCAGAAGGTGCTAAGGGGTCTGCAGGGGGAGTTTGGCCTCAGGCACATTCATGAGCCTTTTCTCTGATTGACCCACTCTCTACAAAGTCCCATGGCACTGGGTCTAAGGTTGAAAAAAAGCTAGAATTTTCTCCTAATGAAATAAAACGCAACAATCCTTGCGCCTAGAATTTGAAGCCTAAATGGTTTGGCTTCTGCCCATTTCCAGACAATCCTCTGCATCCCTTCTGTCTATTTGGATCCAATTCTACTGTACTTTTATCACTTCCGGGATTTCTCAGGTTCATGCAGATGCCATTCTGTCTTCCAAACATGTCCTTGTGACAAAAAGCAAAATCTTTTGAGGTCTAGCTCAAAGGTCACTTCAGAGCCTTCCCAATGCTCTGCACTTCTTGCTTTCTAGGTCTGCAGTTCTGTTCCAGCATTAGCAGTAAGGTGTTGAAATTACTTACAAGTCAGTGAATTTTGCAAGAACTGTTGGCTAAATACCTTAATCCCAGAGCCTAGCATCAGACTGGGGTAGAGAATGTTGTTAAATTGTTACAATTGGGCATTGGTTTAGGGCCCTTATGACATTACATATTTTCCCCAAAGGCTCAGAGCAGTGCCATCTAGTCTTCTCCTACCTTTAAGTAGCATGACACTCAAAGGAAATGTTTCTTGGAGTATTTTAGATTTCAGATTAGGAATGCTCAGCCTGTAAAATCTAAGAAAAATTCAAAATCTGAAGCAACATATAGCAACAGTATCAGCACAACAGACTCAGGGAAAAGATGGAAAATGATGATGACTGTAGTAAAATAGAGCTAATGTCATTTGTAGTCTGCTCTTGTGGATTGGTTTTTTTTTTTTTTTTTTTGAGTCGGAGTCTCACTCTGTTGCCCAGGCTGGAGTACAGTGGCATGCTCAGGGCCATCGCAGCCTTGACCTGCGAGGCTCAGGTGATCCTTCCACCTCAGGCTTCCAAGTAGCTGGAACTACAGGCAAGTGCTACCATGCCCGACTAATTTTTTGATTTATTGTAGAGAGCAGGTCTTGCCAAGTTGCCCAGGCTGGTCTCAAACCCCTGAACTCAGGTAATCCTCTCGCCTCAGCCTCCCAAAGTGCTGGGATTATAGTATTGAGCCAGCGTGCCCAGCTCTTGTGGATTGTTAACAAGCAGAAACTAGGGCCCAATAGTGCCAGATAGTATTTTTCAAAACAGATAGTTATTAATTTTTTAAAATGCTGGGCCGGGCTTGGTGGCTCAGCCCGTAATCCCAGTACTTTGGGAGGCCAATGCGAGTGGATTGCCTGAGCCTGTGGGTTCGAGACCAGCCCAGGCAACTTGGCGAGACCTCATCTCTACAATAAATCAAAAATTAACCAGGTGGGGTAGCACACACCTGTAATTCTGAATATTTGGAAAGCTGATGCGGAAGGATTGCTGGAGCCCAGCAGTTGTACGCTTGGGGTGGCTGTGAGCATGCCACTGCACTCTAGCCTGGGCGATGGAGTAAGACTCCAACTCAAAAAACAAAAAAAATGTTGGCAATAAGTTAAAACTTAAACACACTCTGCCAACCAAAACCTTCCTTGTGGGTTCAACCTTTTAGTTGTTTCTCTGTAATCTCTGCTTTAGGACTTGAACTAAACTGAAGGAAGGAGTGTGCGAGTTGTTTGACTTTACCAGGCTCAAAAGATGTGGAGTAGTGTTGGTGAAATTAAGTCAGCATGGTTGGGTGCGGTGGCTCAGCCTGTAATCCCAGCACATTGGGAGGCCAAGGTGAGAGGATTGCCTGAGCCCAGTGGTTTGAGACCAGCCTGGGCAACTTGGTGAGACCTGGTCTCTACAATAAATTACAAAAAAACTAGCTGGGTGTGGTAGCTTGTGCCTGTAGTTTCAGCAACTTGGAAGGCTGAGGTGGAGGGATTGCCTGAGCCTAGCAGATGGAGTCTGTGGTAGCCGTTAGCAAGCCACTGTACTCCACCCTGGGTGACAGGGTGAGAATCCAACTCAAAAAAAAAAAAAAAAAAAAGAAATTAAGTTAGCATTATGTAGAGAAACTCTAGAAATGCAAACTTTTAAACTATAGGACACATCAGTGGTTGCTGGTGGTGGGGCAGGAAGAAGGGATTCCCTGGGGGGTAATTTACAGCTTATAGAGGTGATGGATATATTTACTATCTTGATTGTGGTGATGGTTTTATGGGTGCATATATGCCTCAACTTATCAAAGTATAACTTAAAATGTAAAATTTATTATGTCAATTACATGTCAATAAAGACGATTTTTAAAAACTTTATAGCAGGAGCAGTTTGGTATCTTTTTTTCTTTTTGAGTTGGAGTCTCACTCTGTCGCCCAGACTGGAGTGCAGTGGCCGCTCCCGGCCACCGCAGCCTCGACCTGCTGGGCTCCGGCGATCCTTCCGCTCAGCTTTCAAAGTTACTGGAACTACAGGTGCGCGTTACCATGCCCGGCTGATTTTTGATTTATTGTAGAGATGAGGTCTCCCCAAGTTGCCTAGGTGGGTATCGAACCTGCGGGCTCAGGCAATCCACTCACCTCAGCCTCCCAAAGGCATGGGAT